ATATTTTTCCTATTTTTTATTAATCAATTACTCATTTTTGGGATTTACCGAAAAAAATAAAAATTTAAAAAAATTATTGAAAACGGGTCGGGTAGTTTATTTAAAAGGGGGGTTGATTTATGGGTCATATTAGGTGTTTATGGGTTCGAATTTTTTAGGGACTTAATTGATACATTTCCATTTTCATATAAATGTCATGTGGTAAAGTCAAAATGATATGACAATTCCATGTGGCATTTAAAGAAATGGAAAATGAGCTGGATATCACACCAGGCCAACTAATGCCCATAAGGGCATATCTAGACAAAAAAATTGGACGGCGAGGGCACGAGTAAGCTAAACTTTAAACGGAGGGTATATCTAAACCTTTTCAAATAGTTTAAGGGCATATTTGACCCTTTACCCTACTCTAAATTATGTTGGCTCACATTCTTGAATAATTTATAGCCTGTTACTTCGACTATTGGAACTCTGGCCTACTAAGAAGGTGTTTGTATTAGGTAAAATTTTCAAGTTGTAATTTTTAGTATTACTTCAAAATAATAATGTTGTTTCATCTTTTCGATCATCAAATAAAAAATATTACATGTTTAATGTGAAGAGATTATTTTGTATAATGCATGAGATTATATTTAAGACTAGTTACATTATAATCATGCTCAATTTTTTTATTGAATCAAATTTTGATCAATAAATATTGCATCACCACTAAAAAACACTATTTTTCCATTAAAAATTTTTATTGAAAAATGTTATGTGGTTTTTAAAAAAAAATAAAATTTGAGTGAGTAGATTTGGTGAAAAAATAATATTTTGTTACACTTTTTATTGACTTGCATTATGAAAAATATCTCTCTTTCTACCAAATATATTTTATTGCTTAGAAAGGCTTTCAGGTAGTGTATTATATTTTGTTATGATTTACAAATTAAATTATATATTTAAATTAAAAATCAATTTCACATCATCATTCACATGTCCTCCCTCAGCCACAAAATATGAAATGACACACAATGTTAATATCGTATCAAATCAGTTGTACATTGACATTTGGATGGGTATACATAAAATATTTATAACTACAGTAAAGCAAAGTATCTGACAAAAAGGGGTTCGAAATATATTTGAACTTTGATCGACATTGTTGTAACAATTCCAATCTTTGAGCAAGACCTATTACCCATCTGCACTATTTAATAGTGTATTTTAAAGATATATATAAGTGCTCACGTGAACACGTTACTATTTATAATGATGTAATATTTATGATGTTCACGTAGATACATATATACCTTTAAAATACACTATTAAATAGTGCAGGGGGTAAAAAGTCCTTTTTAAAGTTCGAGATTGTTACAATAATTTTGATCAAAGTTCGAATATATTTCAAGCATTCCCCTCCACCCACCCACCCCCAAAAAAAAAAGGAAATAACATAACTTCTCAAGAGATCTATACTGACAAGAAAAAAAAAAGTGGAATGGAGACAAATATCCTTGTACTTATTATAGCTTAGCTTGTTATTCTAATATTGTACATTACGAAATTTTATCCAAATTCATAAAATGAGGTTTTTAGCATGAATAAAATGGCCACTGGCCCAAAAAAAGAAGAAGAAGGTTTTTAGCATACCAACGGTTCAAGAGAGGATGGAGTTGAAACTCCATAAATGGAAATGATGATATCATGAAAACCTTTGGTTTTATAAATTATTATAGGCTTTAAATAATTAATTAGAGACATTCTAAAAAAGTACAATTAGATGGATTTGAATATCTAAGACTTTTGTTTGAGGAAATAGATGATTATAGTGTCCTTATATTTATGGTTTACTTGGAGTTAGTCTTTGCTAAGTTTCTAGTATGTGATATGAGTTGTATTGCATGTTGCTTGGTCTTTGGACATAGTGGTTGTTTACAATTAAATTAAACGTTGCTTATATGAATAAGAATGTAAACTATTAAACGGTCTACTTTGATGATATTATGAATTTTGAACTTGTGTTATCCTGAGGCAACTGAAGAGGTTAGCATACTAAGATGCATATACAATGAGAATATTTATTTTTCTTTTATGATGAGTCGGTCGAGTTGATGTAACTAAAAATAAGAAAAATAATTGATTATCTCTGTTAAGAAAATAACTTACACATATATGAACTAAAACATAACAGAAAAGAGCTATGAAATAATATATTTGAATTAATTTAATTTTTTTTAAAATACTAATAATTGAGAAGATACTGATTTTAAAATATAGTATATTAAAAAATATTTTTTCATGAATTCACCTCTCTTTAAAATATAACTAGTATTCGTATCCACGCGTTGCGCGAATATTTTTAAATGTCATAATTTTTTTTAAAAATAAAAATAATTTATAAAATTTGTTATTCACTTGTTAACTTTTTTTTAAAAATAGTTATCATAATACAATATTACAATTCATATGATCATATTAACTTAATATTAGGGAAAAGGGTCAAAACACATCCAAACTATGGGCGAAATTGTTGTTACACATATGAACTTTGCGGGGGTTCTATGAACCCCCCATACTTACTTTTAGTATATTTTTATGGGTATTATTTGCTTAGTCAGACCAGCAAGTAGATGAACGTATAAGAGGCGCATGAGGATGGACTTAAAATTACTGTAACCTATATTTATTTGCCACGTAGCAATCAACTTATGACTTTTTTTTATTTTTTTAATTAAATATTCCAATGTAGCCGTTGTTCTTCACTAAAACCTCCATTAAAGACACATTGCCCACTTTGAAAGCTCAAAATCTTTGAAGAGGATTGAAGAGGTAAGCTTTGATTATTATTTTTTAATTTTTTTTTTTGTCTATATTCGTGTTTAGGGCTTCTAATATCTTGTCCGATTTTTCTGTATAAAATTAGGGTTGGCTATGGAAGAGGTAAAATTGAATTTGTATAGACAATGAAATCGTCAATTGATGGAAAGGTTGAATCCGAAAATCTGAAATACACACCCAACAAAATGCAAGCAACAACTTTGAATCAGTTGGTTCAAAGTGAAAGATTTGTGTGATTTAACTTCTTGTGAGAAAGAGAAGATGTAAGGTAGCTGACCTATTTTCCCCCTTTTCTAACATTTTTCTTGACTAGGCTATTTTGTGAACGTGCGTGTAGGTAAGTGTTTAAGTTTGAGTGACTTTCTAGTCTGACTAAGCAAATAATACCCATAAAAATATACTAAAAGTAAGTCTGGGGGATCATAGGACCCCCGCAAAGTTCATATATGTAACATCAATTTCGCCCATAGTTTGAGTGTGTTTTGAACCCTTTTCCCTTAATATTACATTATTTTATTTGTTATAATATTATTCTAATAATATCAGACTTAAAAAAACAATTCCCACCAAACACATAGTAATTATAATGGATTTCGAAGGCGTTTTTGACAACATCATTGTTAGAAATGAATCATGCCTGATTGATCAATTATTATTGGGGGTCTTCAAATCAGAGTAGGCCAACAAGATAAGATATGTACAGGTTCTTGCTGGATTTCTTCATACCTTTTTTTGTTGTTTGATTAAGTTTTGGCTTCAAATTATAAGAACCCACAAATATTTATTTATTTTTGATCTAATAAAAAGTAACAAAAAATATTTGATAGAAGTCGATTGATAATACTATATATTGCTATCTATGTCTCAATTTACGTGGCACAAATAAAATTTAAAGAATCAACCAACTTTTTACATGTTTTTCAAATATTTCAAGTTGTTAATTATTGTTATTTATAGTATTTTTATGTCATTTTCAAATAATATATGTTATATACTTCTTTTATCCCAATTTATGTGATACTGATATATTTCAAGAGTCAATCGAATCATTTATATTTCTTTTAAAATTTGAATATTTTAAATTGTTAGTTACCGTAACTTATAGAATTTTTTAAATATATTTTTCAAATATTCAAAAGATAAAATAAATAAATAAATTTAAATGAAAAAGTACAAAAATTACATAAATAGCCTCGGCTAGAAGCATGCACGTCGATCAAGAGGTGTCTGCTTCTAGCCTTTTCTATATACTAGATATTGGAGTCTGTTTCAGCACATGCCAAATATATGTTACTTTTTCGTCTTAATTTATGCGACCCAAATAGATTTTGAAGAGTAAATCAATTTTTTTTATATATATTCTTAAAAATGTTGGAAGTTAATTATTGTGATTCATGATAATTTTACTCTAGTTTCATATAATATCTGTTACTCTCTCCGTTTTAATTTATTTGGCACATATGAAATTTGGAGTGCCAACCACATTTTATATATGTTTTTTAAAATTGTTAATTATTGTGATTTATAATACTTTTTACGTAATTTTAGTTTCTTTACTACTCTACTCCTATTTATTTCATCCTTACTACATATTCATATACATACAGATTAGGTGGGGGGGGGGGGGGGGGAGCTTTGATTTGGAAAAGGATCTCTTCTGCATATTATTTTATTTTATCTTTTATCTTTTTTTTATATAGTAGCTCTACTTTGTACCCTATTATTCTTGTAGGTTTATCCTTCAAATTATTAATGTGTGGACTACAAAAAATGATATAATCTATCCAAACATTGTATTCATTAAAACAATACAATTTTATATATATATAAAAGAGAACCCTCAACCTGGTGATCATGATTTAGATACTTTATGAAAGGTGTCTTTATGAATATGTCATAAAATCTTGATTTTGAAAGGAGCTATTGTATAATATGAAATTTATAATTGGATTGATATTACTAGATTCTTACCTTTCCAAGTATTATGATTATGCTTATTTCCGTTGAGAATTTACTTAGCACCAAGTCAACTTTGAGATGAAGGTTGTCCCGTTAATAAAGACGCAGTTCTTTAGTAGCAATCCTCTTGTCCCTTAACTATGTGCTCCAATACGACTTTGTCCCAATTGGATATAGCTAGTGGATCAACCAAAGCTTAAGAACATGAACCTTATACCTTGACAAGTAGGACAAGCTCTTTTTGGTGTGAAAGTAGTACACTGGACTCCATGTTATAGCTCACATAGTGTATGTCGGTTAATGATAAACATCTCACAAAAGATAATGGTTTTCTCAAATAGTTTTATGACTTCCTCAAAAGACTATGATTTAAGCTTATGTTAAACTTTTTAAATATTGCATTGAGCTTGCCTTATGATTTATGATTCTAGCCTATCAAGATTTGATATGTTTTACTTGGTCATGTATTATCACATTTCAAACTTCAAATGTTTCAGCTTTATGTTTTATACATCTTTTCCATATTCAGTACATTCCAACTATTGATGCATACATTCTCTTGTGCCTATATTATTTTATAATACGGAAAAGGGCTTTAAATACCCTTGAACTATTGGAAAGGGTACAAAATTACCCTCCGTCCACCTATTAGCTCCCAAATACCTTTCATATCTACCTTTAGATCCTACATTACCCTTATTTTTAACAATCCCCTATTTAAACTCAATTAATAAATTCATTAATGATGTGGCAATCATCTATTGATCACCTTATAATTAATGAAACTAATTTTAAAACTCACCCATTCCAAAATCAGACCCGCCCCAAACTCATTTAACCCATCCACCCAAAACAATACCTTTCCTTCCCGACTTCATCTTCAAACTCTTAATCCAACATTTTCGGCCACATTTCATCTTTTTCCTGATTCCTTTGGCTATTGAAGAATTACTTCATTAGAAAATGACATGTTTAGAGTGCAATTGGATAAAATTCAAACATGGATAGTACATTGAATTGCAACTTGCAATTCAAATACCTCAGGTCAATACATGGATGGTACATTTTATTTTAGATAGTAGAGTCAGTTGCTCTTTAAGATCCAAAACCTAATATATAGTGAGAAGTTATTTTTTGTAGTCACATACAATAAATATAATGCACTGTATAAATTACGAAAACTTTTAGTTTTCTTGTTCCAGTATATATAGTAAATTCTATTTTGTGCGGCAATCACCAAGTGCTACTTAGTCCAAGATGTGTTAGCAACAACTCATATTCTGTAGCAACAAACAACAAATGTTCTTTAAAAAGATTGTTTCTTGATTAAACATTGTTAAACTAACATAGGTGTCTTGTGCGTTTATTGTCGGTTTTTGTCTATTTTTAAGTCTAATACTCCCATGGATGTTGCTCCCGTAGCGGTTGTAGTTCCATCTGAACATCGACCTTTGGTGCCATTAAATTAGCTTCACAGATGAGTGTATTTGGGGCAAAATGTTAAAATGGGAATGTCTGAAGATGAAGTAAAATGTTGATAAGGAAATGTTTTGTTTTTGGTGGATTAGTTAAATGAATTTGGGGCGGGTCTGATTTGGGAATGGGTGGGTTTTTTTAAAAATAATTTAGGTTAATTATAGGGTGATCAATAGATGACTGCCACGTCATTAATGAGTTTATTAATTGAGTTTAAATGGTGGATTGTTAAAAATAAGGGTAATATAGGATCTAGAGGTAGATTTCAGGGGTATTTGAGAACTAATAGGTGGATTGAGGGTAGTTTACTAGTTTTGTACCATTTCCAATAATTCAAGGATATTTTAGACCCTTTTCCATTCATAATATAGTATCTGACATTCCTCCATCCGGTTATGACTAGTGGATTGATTAGTGGTGCGTAGCAGTTTGGTGAGTCCTCCTGGTTCGGGCACCTTTCAACCACTTGTCTTTCTATTTGTTTATGTCACTTTCAGCTTTCATACTCATTTTGTAAGCTAGGGCTTGTCCTAGTCACACCTTATTTAGTAGAGGCTTATGTCAGACTTGGTAGATTTCCACTTAATCAGTCGGGTACTCTAAATTTGGTATCACGTCACTTGGATATTGAGACTTGCATTCCGCTTTACATCTTTATTTTGATTATGTTGATGTCTTAGTGTCATGCTTATGTCATGTGACTTGTTTAGAGTCTCTGGGATCCTATCTGTCATGTCACACCCAGGGGATATATAGTTTGGATCATGAAAAGCTTGGTATTCAAAGAATAAAGTTTTTTAAAGATTCATAGGAGTTTGACAAGCCTCATTTAGTAGACATTTAAGAAACTTCACTTCTTTCATTACTCTAAAGTTGTGTGATAGATTTGAACTATATAAGGGTCTTCCTTCTAACTCTTGGTCTATTTTACAGAACATGCCTCCAAGAAGAGCTCCATTAAGAAGGAATTTCAACGACAATATGGAACCCAAAGTTCTTCAAGCTCTGGTCGATCCTTTGGCCGAGCAAGTGTCTCATGTAGAGATTAGGGCCGCTTTCTAAGTGTTGGACCAAGCCATGACCGCACAAGCTAATAGAGAGGTTGTAGCTCCTCTAAACCCAAATGTGGGTACAAAGGCAAAAAGGGCACGAGACTTCATAAGGATGAATCTTCCAGAATTCCATGATTCGAATGTTGACGAGGATCCTAGAGAGTTTGTTGAGGGGATTCAAAAGATTGTCGACATTATGGGAGTGACTCCTGTGAAAAAAAAGGATTTGACCACTTATCAATTGAAAGGGGTTTCTCAAGTGTGGTTTTCTCAATGAAAGGTTGAAAGGGATGGATGTGGGTCCCTTGGATTGAGACAAGTTCAAAGGGGTGGTTCTTTCCCCTTGAGACATGGGAATCAAAAGTCGCAATGTTCATAAGCCTAAGGCAAGGAAATATGAGTGTGAAGGAATACTCTTTGAAGTTCACTCAATTGTCTAAATATGTTCCGGCAATGGTTACCGACTCTAGAGCTCGTATGAGTAAGTTTGTTTCGGATATATTTGAAATAGTGGTCAAAGAATGTAGAACTGCCATGTTGATCAATGAGATTGACATCTCTAGGCTTATGATTCATGTTCAACAAATCAAGAAGGAAAATCTTAAGGAGAAGACTAGACAGACTACAAGGGCAAGAACGGATAGTGGTGATTTCTCTCACTCGAGGTTAGGTGGAAATGGACATTCTTATTTTGAGAAGTTCAGTTCAGAGGTTCAACAAGGATAGGGTTTATAAGCCTAAGCTTTAAGAAGGTGGTTCTAATGGATCTTCATTCCTCGTTTGCCAAAAGTGTGGCAAGAGTCAATTGGGTAGAATGCTTAGTTGGTACCGATAGTTGTTATGGTTGTGGTAAGAGTGGTCATAAATTGAGAGATTATCATTCGCTTGTTGGCAAGGGTAGAGATGTCATCAAGTTCAGCATAGTGCTTCTTCTGGTCTCGACTCAGCAGGGTGCTTTTTCTGGTTCTGGTGGTACTCAGTGTTAGAACATGTTTAATGCTCTTCAAACTCGACAGAATCATGAGGGTTCTCTAGA